TCTTTTTCTTCTTCTTCTTGTCTTTACTTTCAATCTTATTTTCTTTTTCCCATTCTATCATGACTTCGCATCTAAATTTCCACAGTCTCTCGAAGAAGCCAAACCAAAAGAGCTCTGTAAACCAGTATATGCTTTTCTCTGCTTTCGATCTTGACCCAAGTAATCTTTTTCCTTCTTCTGTGCATCTGTTTTCTGCTAGGCCCCGAATATACGTTTTCTTCTGCTTATTTTAGTCTGTTCGTCATCTCCCAGGAAGATTTTCTTGAGCTCTGTGCTACTGCACTTAATCCTCCATTTGTTGTCTATCTTTTTCTTCAAATCTTCTATTACCGTGTTCTCTATTCTATTCCAAATTCTTTGATAGACTTGGCATTCTGCCAGATGCTCCATAGTCTCGTCTTTCACACAACAAGCTATGCATGTCTTATCTTTGTACAAACTTGGGTTTCGTAAAAAGCACTGGTCTTTAGTCAGCAAAAGTCTGTTCAGGCATTTTATCTTAAACATCAGATCGTTGCTCTTTTTAATACTTAAACACCTCCTTCCTTGCAGTTTCTTGAGTACTTTCCAGGTGTTTTTCCAGTTTATGCCTTCTTCTTTAGGGTTGTTTACCCCATGTCTTATAATTGAGCTGATACTTTTTAAATTAGCCCAGCTTATCTCATACACTGTTGCTATTGTTGCGTTTACAAATGTTCTAAGTGAACTGTCTATAGTCTTGTCTTTCCACATCGGTATTATTCTGATTTCTCCCAGTACTGGGTCTTGCACCTCTAGAGACAGATCTGATAACAACCCTTCTTTTGCCAACATGTCCGCCTTATCATTTCCTTCATTCATACTATGCCCTTTTACTTTTACTAATTCAAGGTCCAGCTTTTTTGATTTGCAGCAATCCAGAATCTGAGCAACTAGACTCCGATTCTTGATTTTGAAGCTCTTTCTTATGTTCGCTAGGCTTTTAATATTCTGAATACCTTCTATTGCTGCTTTACTGTCT